AATGGGAAATATTTTTCCTTTTTTGGCATCATTGATACTTATATTTTTTTTCCAAGTTTTATAAATTTGAAAAAGAGATTTCTGTGGTGACTTATAGTGAGGTAGGTAAGATTTAGGCTTTTGATATATTCTGGGACCCATAGTAGAATTTTATGACAAATAATTTTGTAGAATATTTTGTCTTAGAAATGACTTTTTAACATTTTTTCTAAAAAAAAGGACCAAAAAGACCCCTTTGGTGCTTGGAAGTAACATAAAAATTTGTTCGCATGAGGTTTGAAATTTTTCACAAAAATAATCCAATCATACGTTTTCTGAAAGCAAAGTCCCCAGGACTAGTACCTTTATAATGATTTTATAAATTTTATAAGTGGGAATAATTTTTTCTGTCGAAAAATAATCTTTACAACTTGAAATAATTTTAATTTAAAAATACCCAGGAGTTGAAGACATTTGTTTCTTAAGAAAAATCGATGACCGAATTTAGATGGAAATGATATGATGATAAAAAATCGCAGGAGCTAAAAAATTTCCATCAGGCCCATTTTTTTGCAAAAAAAAAAAAAAATCTTCGGGGTCTGAATAAGTTTTTATACCCTACACAATATAGGGGTAAGGGTATTCTGTCTTTGTGCATTTGTTTGTAACAGGGAGAAGGAACCGAGATAGACTTTTAGTTACTTTTGAGGATCTTCATAGAATTACTTTCTGGGTAGATTTATGCATGTCAGTCCGTCTGTTCATTTATTCTTGTGAACAAAATGCAAGTAGCATTCATTATCCGATAGAGATGAAATTTTCCAAAAATTATTTGTTTGGCCCAAGGACGAACCCTAGTGAAATTGATCATAATCGGATCAGATTTAGATATAGCTCCCATCTTCAACCGATTTCGGGTTAATTGTGCATCAAATGGCCAATATAAATCTTAATGACCTGAATTTGGTACATCCCACCGAATTTAATCTAGAAGCAAGTACATCAAATTTGTAGAAAATCGGCTCAGATATAGCTATAGCTCCCATATACATATATGTTCAGCCGATTTGAAGTTGTAAGTCCCTCACATGCGTAATACGCACTCCACAAGAATGATATTTGGTACCGGACATCAGATACTGTTCGAAAATACCTCTGTCAAATTTTATCAAGATCGGTTTAGGTTGGATATATTCAACAGATTTCGGGTAAATTGTGCACCAAATGGCCAATATCAGTCCAAATGACCAAATGAAATGAATTTTGGCACATCCGACCGAATTCAGACTAGAAGCAAGTACATCAAATTTCGTTAAAATCAGTTCAGATATATCTATGGTTCCCATATATATGTTTCATCCGATTTGGGGTTGTAAGCCCCTCACATGCATAATATGCATTCGACAATAATGATATTTGGTACCAGATATCTTATCTCGGGAATACCTCAGCCAAATTTTATTAAGATCCTTTCAGAATTGGATATGCCTCCCATATTCCAATTCCCTCTGAAATCAAACTACAACTGCTCTAAAGCCAAATGGTATGATATGAGGTATGATGGTATGAGGTGGTATGATCTACTTCAAATAAATTCGTTTGTTATGGGAGCTCTACTAAATAGGCAAAGTGGTGTAGGGTATCATATAGTCAGCCCGCCCGGTTTTTTAACTTTTCCTTACTGCTTTTCTATAGAAAATTGTCATTTTTATTTATTTATTTAAAAAAAAAAATTAAAAGGCACATTTGTTTTCATAGGAAAAACTCTGTTCGGTACCTAAACTTTAAGGTGCTATGGAGCATTTTAAACTTAGGTGCTATGGAGCATTTTTTTAACCACACACCTTACTTTCATTCATTTTATTTTCCAGGTTGCTTGCTGACCATTGTCCAGGTACTATTCGGCGTTCTAACTGGTGTCATTATTTTACTACACACCGATTGGAGGGCTCGCATTACACGCTGGTTGCTTTGGTCTATGTTTTTGACAATTCTAACCTCAATTTTAAGTGAATTCTCCAAGGAATCTGGAATAATACCAATCAATAAGAATTTATGGTAAAGTGATATCAAATCCAAATCTATATTCACTATAACTAATATCCATGCACTTTCTCCTCTAGGTCCCTCTCGTTTGTTTGTGTGACCACCGCCCTGGCTTTTACGCTGTTAAGTTTGCTATACTACATCATAGATGTACGCCACTGGTGGACGGGCTATCCCTTTGAAGCATGTGGCATGAATGCCATCATCATGTATGTCGGCCACACGGTCATGCACAAAATGTTACCCTGGCATTGGCGTATCGGTGCTATGAATACTCATTTTTTGTTACTTTTGGAAGCCGTTTGGAATACTCTGCTATGGATTGGTATTGCCTTGTATTTAGATCATAAGGAATTCTATTATAGTTTGTAAATAATGAAACTCTTTTTATATGTATTCGTATGTATGTATGTTATGTTAAGAAATGCAATATTTTTTTAAATGTATAAGCAATAAATTTTTATCACAATTTGTAGAACAAAAATTTTTTTGAAGTTTTTTTATTAAGAGCTTTCTTGACCCTGTGCAAAGCAAACAAAAATTATTACAGGAAAAACTCAGTGGATTATGAAAATAAAGCTAAAAAAGAAGACAAATGTATCGGCATTTTGAAAGTTTACATCCCAAATTAATGTGGTGTCCGTTCGAATTGCAATTTTCGAATTTCGAAAAAAGGAAAGTTCTGCTGAATTGTCCTCAATTGTGCCGACTTTTTTTCGAAATTCGAAAAAAATTCTGAGATATTCGAAAAAAGATTTTTTTTGCAGTTTTCGAATTTCGAAAAATTTAAAGTTGTGATGAGTTGTACTCGGTTTGTGCCCAATTGTGCCGATAACATTTTTCGATAGTATGCCAGAATTGCAATTTTCGAATTTCGAAAGATTAAGAGTTGTGCTTGATTTGTGCTAACTTGTGCCGTTTATTTTTTCTCAATAAATTTAACCGTTTTCAAGATATGAAAATTTCGAAAAAACCAGTATTTTTCAGAAAAATCGCTGTAATTGCGGTAAACTATCGATAATTGTTATCAAATATCGAATTTCCACCTTTACTCTTTACTCATCCATACATTAGAAATTTGTATCTCTGCTCCTTGCTCGTTAAAATCATTAATCTGTGCAGGTCCACGTCTTCGTATCGCCCCCATATAACGGTACCTCCCGATATTCGGTATTTTGATGATTTTAGTGACATTATTCACCGGAATTGATTCAATTTTGGTATTTGATGTTCGTAATGGGTGCTACAGCCTATGACAGGAGATTGTCTGTGCATGTCCACGTCTTCCTATAGCCCCCATGTAACGGTACCTCCTGATTCTCGGTATTTTGATGATTTTAGAAACCTTATTCACCGGAATCGATTCAAATTTGGCATTTGAAATTTAGTATTAATACTAAATTCAAAATTGACCCAAAAAGGAAATATATTCTTGATCAGCTTAAAATTCTAAGACGATTTAGCCCTGTCCGTCCGTCCGTCTGTGCGTCTGTTGCAATCACGCTACAGTCAAAACGAATTAAGTTGTGAAGCTAAAATTTTGCACATATCTGTCTTTTGTCTGCAGGCAGGTCAAGTTCGAAGATGGGCTATATTGGTCCACGATATCGTATAGCCCCCATATAACGGTACCCCCCGATATTCGGTATTTTGATTATTTTATCCACATTTTTCAATGGAATTGTCTGAAATTCTACACCAGGAGTTCTTTGTGAGCACTTTACCCCCTGAAAATAATTGTCTATATAGGTCCCCAATACCGTATATTCCCCATGTAACTGTACCCCCCGATATTCGGTATTTTTCAAGGAGTTGTCTGAACGGAATTGTCTGAAATTCTGCACAAGGAGTTCTTTGTAAGTACTTTACCCCCAGACATAGATTTGACTATATAGGTCCACAATATCGTATATCCCCCCATATATCGGCACCTTTCGATATTCGATATTTTTAAGATTTTAACAAAATTTTTAATGGATTTTATTTTTTTTTTTTTTGGAAAATTTTCTAACTCTCACCAAATGGACAGCCCGAACTTACTGATTTTTAGTTGTTCCTTTTCGAATTTAGTCTTAGCCCATTTTCTGATTTCACTGAAAATTGTCAGAAACTAATACTTGGCAACAGCCAATCTGGATGGTGAAGAAATGGTTTTATGTTCTCAAGCCAAACATATTTTAGAACTGCAGTGGAGGTCAATACTCGCTGGGAACTATGCTATAAACAGCATGAGTCGAAGTAATACTTTTCCCTTTGGAATTACCTATTTTATCACTTCCAAAAGAAATTAGGTACTCATTCCTTCTTTTCGTTACTTCTTCGTTTTTATTATAATTGTATTATTAAAAATAAAAATAAAAAATATCAAATCGGATGAGCACTATATAAGGGAGCTATAGCTATATCGGAACCGATTTTCACCAATTCTGACATACTTGTTTCTAAACTCAATTTCGTCGTAAGTACCAAATTCCACGTTTCCTGCACAATAATAAAATGTAAATCGGACGAAGATATATATGGGAGCTATATCCAAATCTGAGCCGATCCCGATAAAATTTGGGAAGGGTTTTTCTGAGCTGTATTTGAAATATTTCCCCAAATATCGTTGTTACAGGGTGAATATTACGGCTGCGGAGGACAAAAATGTCAACAACGGATGAACAATATATATATGGGAGCTATAGCTATATCTGAATCGATTTCGATCAAATTTGGCATACTTATATCCAGGCTTTATTTGGTCGTATATGCAAAATTCCATCCCATTTGGACAAATATTACTCGTTTGGTGCACAACAAAAGGCAAATCGGACGAAGATATATATGGGAGCTTCATCTAAATTTTTTGACCGATTATCTCCAATTTCATACTCGCTGGGAACTATGCTATAAGCAGCATGAATCGAAGTAATACTTTTCGCTTTAGAACTTACCTATTTTGTCACTTCCAAAAGAAATTAGACACTCATACCTTCTTTTCACTACTTCTTCGTTTTTATTATTATTGTATTACTTTCCTTTTTCAATATATAGCTGCATTCATAGTTGTTTGTTTGATTTTCCATTTTAATATTAAGTATGTATATATGTATAGTTATATATAAAAAAATATAAAATACAAAAAAATTATCCTTAAAAACTATTTATTTTCAATTGTTTTTCTATTGAATGAAAAACAATACTAATATTTATAAAATCGATCATTTAGGATGGATAGATATTTCATGTGTGTATGTGTAAATATATATATGTAATTAGGATGAAAAGATTTCAAATAACGTTCTGCATATACAAATATTAATGGAAAATTGTATTTATAAACTACCAGAGTAAATGTTTATTATATTATAATATTCATGCGTTTTATTATATTATGTTTTTATATTTTTTTATGTAATGTAATAAAATATAGTATTCATTTCAAAACATTCGGCCCAATTACCGTTGTCGTTTCTATAGTCGTCGTCGACATTATATGTAAGTCGCCATCGCCGTCGTTTCGTTTCAAAAATGGTAGTACGGTAAGGTATAGAAGCGACATCGACTCTTAAAAAAAAAAATTAGCAACAAACCTTTGTTGTTGACAAAAAAAGAAAAAAAATTGCAGGTAATTAAGGCTGCAAACAAACATATTTTTATTGCCTGACTCCAAGTAAGTACATATTTTAATTAGGGCTTAACTCTAGTTTAGTAAAAACTCTTCAATTTTTTTGAAATATTTTCAAGTCGTAGGTGTTTTTATCCTGATTTCTTTTTTTTTGGATGACGGACCCGGCACCCCAAATTTTTGACCCGAAAGTCCGGGTTCAAGACTTTAACTTTAGTCTAGTAAAAACTCTTCATTTTTTTTAATATTTTCAAGTGGTAGGTGTTTTTATCCTGATTTCTTTTTTTTTTGGATGACGGACCCGGCACCCCAAATTTTTGACCCGAAAGTCCGGGTTCAAGACTTTAACTTTAGTCTAGTAAAAACTCTTCATTTTTTTAATATTTTCAAGTGGTAGGTGTTTTTATCCTGATTTTTTTTTGGATGACGGACCCGGCACCCCAAATTTTTGACCCGAAAGTCCGGGTTCAAGACTTTAACTTTAGTCTAGTAAAAACTCTTCATTTTTTTTTAATATTTTCAAGTGGTAGGTGTTTTTATCCTGATTTTTTTTTGGATGACGGACCCGGCACCCCAAATTTTTGACCCGAAAGTCCGGGTTCAAGACTTTAACTTTAGTCTAGTAAAAACTCTTCAATTTTTTAAATATTTTCCAGTGGCAGATAATTTTACTCTGATTCCGGGAAACTATTTTTTTTTTTGAGGACGGACCCGCGGCCCCAGATTTTTGATCCGAAAGTCCGGGTTCAAGACTCTAACTCTAGTTTAGAAAAAACTCTTAATTTTTTGATATATTTTCCAGTGAAAGGTATTTTTACCCTGATTCGGTTAAATTTTTTTTGGTGAACGGACCCGGGACCTCTGTTTTTTGACCCGAATGTCCGGTTTCAAGACCCAGATCCACTTACCCAATATGTAAGTGTATTGCTTATGAAAATACCTATCCAAAAAGTGGTCACTTGATGGGGTTATTTAAAGGCGTTCGGAAGTTATGGTCAAATTATCGATTTTTTAGACCCAGATATTTTATAAAACCCGAAAAAAGTCGAAAAAGGGCCCAAAAAAATAGATGCCAAATTATAGCTGAACTCTTACACTTCAAAAATAGTACAATTTTGCTAATACCTTTTCAGAGTCCAGAGATGTTCTCTTCTGGCTATGTTCAACTGGCTGCGCGAACTAAAATTTTCTAAATTTAACAGTTGCTGTAAGTAGCTGGCCTTCGTCATCATCATGTGACCACTTGTTGGATAACTTTCAAACGATACCTATATTGCCTATATCGGCGAAATTGGATGCGAGTCTTGAACCCGAACTTTCAATAAAAAAAATCTGGGGAATCACAGTAATAGTTCCCCGATATCAGGGTAAAAATACCTACCTCTGGAAAATCTTTCGAAAAAATCGAAGAGTTTTTACTAAATTAGAGTTGTTATATATTGCCTATATCGGCGAAAGTGGATCCGGGTCTTAAACCCGGACTATCAAGTCAAAAATCAGGGGGATCACAGTAATAGTTTCCCGGAATCAGGGTAAAAATACCTACACCTGGAAAATCTTTCGAAAAAATCGAAGACTTTTTACTTAACTAGAGTTGTTTCAATTGGCTACAGCATTAAGGTTTTCAGCGCTAGAATCTTAGTGGACCAGTGTCGGAAATGTCTTCAATATTTCCAAGTTGTTTTGCTGTTGTTATTTTCATGGTCAAATGTCAAATTCAAAATTGTTAAAATATCGTCGACGTCGACTTAAAAATACAATGTCGTCATCATTTTTTTACGGCAACAGATATTCACTAAAAACGACTTCGCGTCGACTATTGCATCGACAATGGTAATAGCAATCATTCATCGACATCGACAAAAAAACGACAATCCTAAGCCGTTATTGTCACCTCGACTTCATTTTGCGACGTCGACGACGACAACCGTAATAGGGCTGATTATTAAATGTGTAACATAAAAAAGGATATAAATATAATAATATACTTTTTTATATATTTTTTTTATAATTTTAGGAATTTAATAATATATTTTATTACATTATATTTTTTTATTATATTATATACTTCATATATTTTATTATATTTCATTGTATTTTACATTTCAATATATCAATAATTTTTGATTTAAAAACTGTGTTTTATTTCATTTCCCCTAAACTCTCTATTTGTAAAAAGGTCAGTTTCTTTTAGTTGTGTTTGTGCTAGTTCTTTATTTATTCAGTTATTAAGTAGTTATTGTTGTTTTTGTTTTATAAGTATAAAAATAATTGTTTATTGTTGTTGTAAATATTTCATAAATTGTGTACTATTTCTTCTTTTCTTTAATACTAGAAAATATTTTATCTTGTTTTTTTAGGAATTATGGGTTTCATTCAATTCACACGGTGCTACAAAGAATGTGCTTTAACTTTTAAAATGACACTTTCAGATTTTTAATTTTATAGAGTACTGAATAATATTTTCCAAAAATTGGGGCCATGTCGTATGTAAGGTCGGGACAGTAAGCTCATCTGACAACCAAGTTTGCTGCCGAAAGACAAAATTGTGATTCGAAATTGAATGGAAGAAAGTCAAATAACAATTGGCGTATTCTTGTTCCATGTGGCGTATTCTTGTTCGATGAGAACATGAAATAAAAAGTATATTCTTTAAAGATTTTTTCATTTGTTTTTCTTAATTTTTTATTTAACTTTTTCATAGGAGAATTGAGGCCCTGTATTTTGTACGACGTGTTCAAATGTGTTTTTAAAATTTTGAATTTAACTCAAAAAAAAAAAAAAAAACAGTAAAAAAAGTCTAAATGTCGGGCGGGCCCATTTTATGATACCCAACAACCCTTTGCATATTTAGTAGAGCTTCATGTAACAGATCTTCATTAGCAGAGCTTCAAACAAAAAAAAAAAAAAAATATCAATCGGGTTTAACAATATATAAGGGAGCTATAGCTACATATATCTTAACCGATTTTCTCCAAATTTGACACACTTGTTTCTAGGCTCAATATCGTCGCAGTTACCAAATTCCATCCCATTTGGGCTGATATTACACGTTTGGTGCACAATAAAAGGTAAATCGGAAGAAAATATATATATGAGAGCTATATCCAAATCTGAGCCGATCTCGATAAAATTTTGCAAAGATGTTTCTGAGCTGTATTCGATATATTTCCCCAAATATCGTTGTTACAGAGTGCATATTACGGCTGCAGAGGACAAAAATATCAGCAATGGATGAACAATATATATATATAGGAGATATAGCTATATCTGAACCGATTTTCACCAAATTTTCCACACTTGTTTCTAAGCTCAATTTGTTCGAAAGTACCAAATTCCATCCCATTTGGACTAATATTACATGTTTGGTGCACAATAAAAGGTAAATTGGAAGAAAATATATATATATGTGAGCTATATCCAAATCTGAGCCGATCTCGATAAAATTTTCCAAAGATATTTCTGAGCTGTATTCGATATATTTTCCCAAATATCGTCACAGAGTGCATATTACGACTGCAGAGGACAAAAAATATCAACAACGGATGAATATTATATATGGGAGCTGTAGCTATATCTGAACCGATTTCGATCAAATTTGTCATATTTATTTCCAGACTTTCTTTTGTCGTATATGTAAAATGCCATCCCATTTGGTCTAATATTACATGTTTGGTGCCCAATAACAGGTAAAGCGGACAAAGATATATATGAGAGCTATAGCGAAATTTTGGTCGATTATCTCTTTGGGCCAAACAAATGACTTGTGCAAAATTTCATCTGGATCGGGCAAGAAATGCGACCTGTACTTGGTTTACAAAAATACATGGACTGACAGACGGTCGGACGGACATGCATAAATCGACTCAGAATGTGATTCTATGCAGATCATCAGGAACAATGGGTCTATCTCGTTTCCTTTTGCCTGTTACAAACGAATACACAAAGACAACAACAAAAAGGTAAGGTAGAGCTACCAGCTGATAACAATACCTTTCTTAGTGTGCCCGACATCTGCCAAATTTGTGTATGTATTTATTGTTTTGAAAAATTAAAAAAAAAATTAAAAAAATTTGACAGGAAGCGGGCATAGCCTCAGGGCTGTGTTTCTGTAGTTTTACGAAGCTGTTCTACCTCCTTACTGCAGCATGGAGAAGGGTATAAAACGAAAAAAAAATATATAAAATATGAAAAACTGATTTGGAATTGCCAGTTAGAAAAGGTTATATAAAGAGACAAAATATAATTTCTTCGAGAAAATGCGTTATTTTTCTCGTAACCTATTTTATCTCAAATCGACAGTTTAAACATTTAATTATTTAGTTAAAACTTTCAATGACAGTTTTTTCAAGTCAAACGTTGGACATGTTTCAAATAATCCCAATTTGAGTTCCGCGATAGTAATTTGGGCAGTGTATTTCATGAGCGAAAAGTGATGTTATGGCCCCAATCAAGGTCTCCTTGCAAGGTGACACGGTAAGGCTAGCTACTCTCTTCTTTTGCCGTCAAAACATGTTTTTTTTTATTAAAAATTCATGATAAACCTTCAATTTTGACGAAAATACAGGTTTACATCGTGAAAATTTAAAGTTTGTGAAATAGTAAATAGCGCGTCCGTCTATTTTGGGCGATTCCTCGCCAATATACTTTTTACAAAAAAGTACAGACTAAGGGTCAAATTGGCCTCCTGTGTGACCTCATTAAAAAGGACTTTGTCCCAGCAATTTCATATTTTTTTGTTGCAAAGGTCTGGGTTTCAAATTGTTGATTTAGATCATATATGTTTTGTTTTTTAGTTTTGGAATTATTTTCAATATCAAAAATATTGGATAGTTATCGTAGTAACATTTTCATGCAACAAGAGCAGACTAAGGGTCTAAATATTATGTTGATCTTTTAAGAACCTGCTAGTTTTGGATTTATTTTCAATATCTAAAAGGGAACATCAGATGGTTATCGTAATAACATTTGCATGCAACAAGAGCAGACTAAGAGTCTAAATTCACGTCTTGTGTGACCTTATTAAAAAGGACTTGGTCCCAACCATTTCATTTTTTTTGTGGCAAAGGTCTGGGTATCAAATTTTGGATTCAGATCAAATAAGCATAAGATATCACGTTGATCTTTTGAGAACCTGTTAGATTTGGAATTATTTTCGATATCAAAAATATTGGATGGTTACCGTAGTAACATTTTCATGCAACAAGAGCAGACTAAGGGTCTAACTTCACGTCTTGTGTGACCTTATTAAAAAGGACTTGGTCCCAATCATTTCATATTTTTGTGACAAAGGTCTGGGTTTCAAATTTTTGATTCAAATCAAATAAGCATAATATATTATTTTGATCCTTCAAGAACCTGCAAGTTTTGGATTTATTTTCGATATCAAAAAAGAAAATATCGGTTGGTTAGCGGATTAACATTTTCCAAAGAACAGTCTCCGATTTAAGTCTCCGATTTAAATTGTTAAAAATACCCTAATTTAAATGGGCATTAAAATTGGTATAAAAAAATTTACCAATACATTACATTTTTGAATTCGGTCATTTACAAAGTCAATGTTTACACATTTCTCAATTGTTACACCGTGTTTGTTTTGTATTCAAAAAAAAAAATCTAATAAAAATTGGCATATTTCTGTGTATAAAAAAATAGAATTTGATTGGCATGTTTCGTTTTATTAGTGGAATATTGTAAAATACTTGATATCTCATTTTCTTCTTACCAAATTACATTATGTATATCTTGTGTATTATATATTGTTATTTTTTTTTTTTGTTAAGTATATTCAAATGTCTTAAATAGTTTTGATTTCAATTTCATTTGTATTATATGCTTTTATAAAGTTTTTTTCAGTCATTTCATTTTTCATAGTTGTTATTATTATAAATTGTCTCTTCAATGATATTAAATTACAAGTCTTTATAAAAAAATGTATACATATATATATATTTTATATATAAATAAAATTATTATCAAAATCAAAACATATTTATTGTTTTTGTAAAAAATGGATTTTCTGTTTTAAATATAAATGCATTTTTGTTATTTTAATTTTTCAATTACTTTTTGTTTTGTTTCTTTGCCTATTATCTATTGTAGCGAACAATCACAACACATCAGGGTATAATACAAACACTTGACCACCTTTTCATCATCTTCGGGTGTTTCATTTTTATTCTCCTCCTTGTTGGCGGACGGCACACCATCCAACTGGTCGAGACCTTTACCTTTGGAGAGTTTATTCTTCTTTTTCTTTGTTTTTGATTTGGTTAAGATTTCACGATCGTTACGGGCCTGTAACGCTGAATCGACCCAATCTAAATCACCGCTTGGAATTTTCTCGCTTGTCGTATCTTCGGTTATACTTTCAATGGAATTAACATCACCCTGTGAAGAGGCAGAAAGAAAAAAAAAACGAAACAGAGAAAAACAGGCGTTAATCAGAAATTAACATTGGGGTGTTTATAGGCTGTCGGTTAGTTTTTTTATTGTTTAAATGTTTTTAACCTCTTCTTATGTAATAAAATATTGTTATGATTTATTAATTAATCTTCGATAATAGTTTTATTATCACATTTAAAAATATGGTAAATTTTTGAGAATAAAACAGACCATAAAAATATAAAATTCTTAACATATTTCACATATTTTCCAATCAAGAATTTTTATAGACCAAACATAAGAATTCAAAATCCAAAGTAAGGAATATTTATAACTATAAGCTTAGCGCAAGCTTTTCATGGTACAGGGAGCAGAATTAATTGGCCCGCTGGATTTAGGATTTAAAAAAATTCTTCTCTTTTTCTTGAGATTTTGAAATTTGCAGTGAAACGAGACACACACTCGCCGCTATGCGGCGCGTTTCGCCGTTGGTTAAGCGTCTCATCAGGCATATTTGGTGTGTATAATGGCTTGGAAGGTCCCTTTTTTGGAAGCTTGAATTTATTTCAAATTTCGAATTTAACACCAGATTTATAAACAAATCTTTTTTTACCCTCAGCCATATGGCTACAGAGGGTATACAGGGTGAGATGAGAAAAAACTGCAACCAATTTCAGACTGCTGTCTTTTCTAAGCCACTCGTCCGACAGCTGTTAAAATTATTCCAGTGACAGCTCATTATATTGTTTACAAGCGTACAAAAGCATTTTCCAGAAAAAAAGTTATTCGTAATGGAATTCAAGCGTGATAGTGTGATTTCCTGATATTTGGCTGGAAAACCACAAGTGGCTATCGTTAGGAGCACTCCAGCATTTAAATGTGAATAAATCTTTTGTGTCTTGTACCATCGCTTATTACCGTGATACTGGTAGCGTAGCCCGACGTCAAGGAAGTGGACGGAAGAAAACAGCAACATCAGCAGAAATGGTACGAAAAGTACAGAAGCGACTTGATCGAAACCTCCGTCGCAGTGTCCAAAAAATGGATGGCTCGTGAGCTGAACATATCACATGCATATTCCGTTCGAAATATTGAAAAATGAGCTCGGGATAAAGCCATTGAAATTCCAAAAAGTGCAAGAACTTACACCGCAACAGAAAGAAAATAGACTCAAAAGAGCTAAATAGTTGCTTCGCTTGGCCGAAAGTGGTGAACTGCCGAATTTGGTTTTCTCCGATGAGAAAACATTCGTTGTCCAGCAGTTTGTAAACAATCAAAATGATCGTGTTAACAGGCCAAAGAGGCCAGTTGAAAATGTGCATATTCGGTTGGCCACCAGAACTCAAGCGACGGCCATGGTGATGGTGTGGGCCGCCATAACAGCCGATGGTCGCTTTGCGCTCGTATTTATCGACCGTGGCATCTGAATAAATGCCGAATATTATGGCAAAAATATTCTGGAGTGTGTATTAATGCCTTGGGCACGCAAACATTTTGGCCGCAGACCGTGGACATTTCAAGAGGACTCAGCCAAGAATGGTTACAAATTGAGGTTCCTCGCTTCATTTCCAGAGCACAATGGCCAACAAAATCTCCGAATACCAATCCGTTGGACTATTGTGTCTGGAGTATTTTGGAAAGCAAGGTTGGCACTAAAAAATACCAAAGTGTCGATCACCTCAAGCAAGTGCTTCGCCGGAATGGGCCAAAATACCGCAGAGTAACATTTGGGCAGCGTGTGACGGTTTCATTGGCCGTTTGAAGGCCATAATTCGTGCCAAAGGCGACCAATTCGAACAAATCTAAACTTATTCTAAAATTTGATGCTATTTCCGAAATTTTTTGCTTTGATTCAATAAAATGTAAAAAAAAATGTAAAAATTATGGCGTTAGACTTTCTTGCATTGTTTTGTTCCACCCTGTATAATAGCTTGGAAGGCCACTTCTTTAGAAGCTTGAATTTATTTCGAATTAATGGCCAGAAGAATCATAGTTCGTATCCAGATATATAAGCAAATCTTTTTATACCCCCAGCCATATGTCTAGAGATGGTATATATCTTTTGATACGGCCAAAACGTGCCTTACGGTTTCAGACCCTAGGTCTCTTTGGACCAAATCCGTTACAGGACATTTGGAGTCGATCTAGCGATGTCCGTCCGTCTGTCTGTCTGGCTGGTGCGCACGATAACTCTCGAAGGGAGTATTCGGTTTGATCCAAACTTAGTACATCGTAATATTATTGTCAAACTTAGATCGAGTTCTGAGATGGATAATATCGGTCCACTCCTTCTGGTACCTTCCCCACAAAATGTCTACATTTTCAAAGAAAATAATTTACTGCACAGAAAGAGAAAGGATAATCCGATTTTGCTTCAGCTTTGCAAATCCTAATATTTGCATCAATGCTAGATCAGGTGCGATAATGGTCAATATTGGATCACTCCAAGAAGAACCTCCCCCTCAAAAGGGTCAAAATTTGCAATAATTATAACTCTTATAGAATGCGATGTAAGAGTCCGATAGTCTTCAAATTACACATATCTCAGTATTTTTATTAATCCAAGGTATGGTGTGAAGATGGAATATATCGGTCGACTCCTTCTGGTATCTCTCTCACAAAGAGTCAACATTTTGAATATTCATGAAGCTCACAATTTAACATCTGATTCCATCTAGACTTGGCACATCGAAATATCTCCATCAACACAAGATCTGTTAAAAAGATGGTAGAGATCGAAACGTTCCTTCTGGTACCTTCCCCACAAAGGGTCAAAGTTTTGATTAACCAAAAGGAGCAAAAAATCCGAAATAAGCATCCGATTCTCTTCAAATTTCGCACATCGCAATATTTCTACCAAAACAAGATCTGATGTGAAGATGGAATATATCGGTCTACTCCTACTGGTACCTCCCCCACAAAGGATCTCAATATATTTATGAAGCTCATAAAACACGAAATAAGCATCCGATTCCATTCAGACTTGGCACGTCTCAATATTTCCATCAACACAAGATCTGTTAAAAAGATGGTAGAGATCGAACCATTTCCTCTGGTTTCTCCCCCCCAAAGGTTCAAAGTTTTCAATAACCAAAACGATCATAAAATCCAAAATAAGCATTCGGTTCTCTTCAAATTTCGAACATCGCAATATTTCTACCAACACAAGATCTGTTGTGAAGATGGAATATATCGGTCTACTCCTACTGGTACCTCCCCCACAAAGGATCAAAATATTCATGAAGCCCATAAAACAGGAAATTAACATCCGATTCCATTCAGACTTGGCACGTCTCAATATTTCCATCAACACAAGATCTGTTAAAAAGATGGTAGAGATCGGACCATTTCATCTGGTTCCTCCCCCACAAAGGGTCAAAGTTTTGAATAACCAAATCCGAAATCAGCATCCGGTTCTCTTGAAATTAAACACTTGAGAATATTTTTATTAACACAATATCAGGTGTGAAGATGGGATATATCGGTCCACTTCTTCTGGTAACTTCCCCACAAAGGGTCAACATTTTGAGTACCCAAGAAGCTTATATGTATACCCTCTCTAGCCATATGGCTGAGGGTATAAATATATCGTTATGAGACTTAAAGAAAGATTTCAAACACGCTTCGTGTCCAGAAAGACCTATGAAATAATCTTAGTAGTGTACATTCCATTTTCTCGAACCCTTACCTGATTATTATTGTGATTTCGATTATGATGTTTCTTTTTAACTGGTGTACTATTTACAGAACCATTTTGCTCCTGCTGCTGTTGTTGTAATTGTGGCTGTGAATGGTGATTCGTGTGAGATTCATTTGTTATTGCTGTTGTTATAATAGACTCTTTATGTATTGGAGATTCTGATGGTGATATTTGCGATGCTGTCGTACCAGACGAACTATTCAAATTATCTATGGATGTGTGGATGGCATCTTTGGGCGGCGATGGCAATGTATAAATATCAAATTCATTTGTTGTTATATCCTTGCCCAGAATGGAATAACGATTTTCCTAAAGAAAAAAAAAACAGGGAAACAGATTTGATTAGTCAAAGTTAGGAGAGTATTGAAATTATTTATACGAACCCTGTTGGGACTTACATCCATTATTTGAGCCGTTGTTGTGGTTGTCACTATAACCGGTATGGGTTGATGAGATTTGGCCGGCATTGTAAATGATTCGGTATCTGAGTCAATTTGATCCAAATCCGTTTGGATTAAAGGCGATAATGGCGGTGAGATTAGTTGAGCTGTTGAGGCGGTACTATTTGGGGTTGTGGGAGATGTTTGATTGTGCTGCTGCTGCTGTTGGTGTGAATCACTTGCATTCGTTAAACACTCAGCTGCTGCTGCTTCATTGGACGGAAATGTTGTAGAGTTATTGGAGTTTTTTGCTATAACGGCTGCGGAACTTCCAACCGCTGTGGCACAAGCTATGCTGGCAATACCAGAAGTCGAAGGACCATCCAGTAATGAGACATCGGGTTCTCTGTAAATTAACAATGAAAAGAGAGGGAGAGAGAGAGAATGTTAACAGGTTTGTAGACTAGATTGAGTTCGCTTGACAATGAATGACTTAATAGATCAATGAATGAATGAGTTTTTTTACTGACGTCACTGTTGTCTTGTGGTATTATGAAGCGGAACTATTCCACAATGCCAATAATTAACAAAAAACAACTAGAGCAAGAAATTGTTTGGAGATGACGACGATGATGATGGAGATTTTTACAATAATTACAACATGAAAACACCAACGAACTTTTTGCGTGATTTACGTTTCTTTTTGCCCATCGCTTGCGTCCGACCAAGTGATGATGTCAAGCTCTCTCAACGAAGCACAGATTTCTATTTTCACTTTACAAATTCTTAATATTTTTTAAAACAATAATAAAATATATATTTTTTATTTCTTTAAACAAATAAACGACATTTTTTTTGGTGACCACCAAAATCTGTTTCGATTTACCAACCAAAGACGATGACTAATTTTGGACAAGTCTAAATTCCGCGTTAGCGTTAATAATAGCAGCAACAAATATCAAAACAGACAGGTTGTTGCTGGTGCTGTGGCTTCAACACATTTCTGGTTATTAATGATATGCTCGCAGCCGAGTTGAAATGTTTTGTTTTGGCTTTACAATCAGACGGACGGACAGAGGGACAGACAGACATACAGACCTGGGATTTAAAGTTCAACGAAAGTCATCAGCAATAAAACAAAACAAAATGAAACGAAAAAAACGTGAAACGAGAGAATTATAAGAATTAGAGACAGGGTGCGGGTTTTTTGTTTCGTCTGTGGATATGGAATGTTAATTAAAATTAAAAAATACATGTAATATTAGCCGTTAAATTTGAAAATGGGTTAAGTGCAAATTTAAGCAATAAACCATAGAGATCTTATATCAATAACAGACCAATAAAAAGGTATGGTATTCATGGAAATACTGAAACAAGGCATAAAGTAGATCTGAGAAATTGTTGGGAAGGACTATTGGAGCCATGAGCGTAGGTTTTTAAATATGTATTTTAAAGGACTATTAGAGCTATAAGAGTGAATTTTTAAAGAACACTGGGGCGGGGATTTTTAAGAATATAGAATGGTTTTCAAAGGATTATTGCAGCTAAAAGCATTGATTTTTATACCCTACACCACATAGTGGTAAGGGTATTATGTCATTGTGTATTAGTTTGTAACATGGAGAAGGAAGCGAGATAGAAACATAGTTACTTTTGAGGATCTTTATAGAATCACTTTCAGAGTCTATTTATGCATATCAGTCCGTCTGTCCGTCGTCCGTCTGCAAAATGCAGGTCGCATTTATTATCCGATTGAGATGAAATTTTCCAAACAATACTTTTTTGGCTCAAGGACGAATCCTATTTTTGGCACATCCGACTTGCTTCTAGCAAGTCCATCAAATATGGTGAAAATAGGTTCAGATATAGCTTTGGCTCCCATATATATTTTTCATCCGATTTGGTCTTTGAGTCATATTTGTAATGTGCACTCCACAAGAATGAAATTTGGTAACAGATATCTTATAGAGCTCGGAAATACCTTTGTCAAATATTATCGACATCAGCTCAGATTTGGATATGGCTCCCATAATATCCTTAATCCGATTTCAGGTTTATTGTGAAAAAAAATGGCTAATATCAGCCCAAATGGAGTGAATTTCGGGACTTACGTTTCCATTCTATAGCAGTGTTATTTGGTATAAAAGATAAAAATGTCTCCGTCAAGTTTGGTGAAAATCGATTCAGAATTGGATATGCCTTCCATATATTAGTTCCCTCTGAAACCAAATTATAACTCCTCTAAAGCCAAGGGTTGATAGATTGTATGATCTACTTCAAAAAAAAAAAAAATCCAATATAAATTCTTTTGTTACGGGAGCTCTACTAAATATGCATAGTATCATATAGTCGGCCCCGTCCGACTTTTGACTTTTCCAACTGGTTTTTCAATAACAAGCAGAGCTATAAGTGTGGATTTTTTAAGAATATTTTTTGAGGGGCTACTGGAGCTAAGACGTAGATTTTTAAAAATATTTGAAGCTACGTGGGTTTTTAAGAAAAAATTCCGAAGGACTATAAGAGCTATAAGCATGATTTTTTTAAGAATTCTTTTTGAGAGACTTTTGCAGCTATACAGGGCGATAAAAAACTGCAACAAAGTCAAACGTCATCCGACAAAAAATGTCGGAAATAGCATCAAATTTTAGAATAAGTTTAGATTTGTTCTAATTGGTCACCTTTGGCACGAATTATGGCCATCAAACGGCCAATAAAACCGTCACACGCTGCCCGAATGTTGATCTGCAGGATTTTGGTCCATTTTCGGTGAAGCGCTTGCTTGAGGAGATCGACACTTTGGTATTATTTTGTGCCAACCTTGCTTCCCAAAATATTACAGACAAATAGTCCAACGTATTGGTATCCGGAGATTTTGGTGGTCATTGTGCGCTGCAAATGAAGCGGGGAACCTCATTTTCTGAATTCTATTGAAATTTCCAAGTTCTGCGGCCAAGGCTTTAATACACCCTCCAGAATATTTTCGCGATAATATTCGGCATTTATTCTGATGTCACAGTCGATTAATACGAGCGGAGAGCGATCATCGGCTGTTATGGCGGCCCACACCCTCACCATGGCCCGCGCTTGAGTTCTGGTGGCCAACCGAAGGTGCACATTTTCAGCTGACCTCTTTGGAAAGTAAACACGATCATTTTGATTGTTTACAAACTGCCAACGAATGTTTTCTCATCGGAGAAAACCAAATTCGGCAGTTCACCACCTTCGGCCAAGCGAAGCAACTCTTTAGCTCTTTTGAGTCTATTTTCTTTCTGTTGCGGTGTAAGTTCTTGCAATTTTTGGAATTTCAATGCTTATTTCAATATTTGGTCATTTTTCAATATTTGCCGAATGGAATATTTCGATATGTTCAGCTCACGAGCCATATTTCAAAGGATTTTCAAAGTTAAAGTAAAATTGGATTATCCTTTTTTTCTCTCCGTGCAGAAATTTTTTTTTTTTGGAAAATTTCAACACTTTGTGATAGAGGTACCAGGAGTGGACCGATATTGCCCATCTCCGAACTCGATCTAAGTTTGATAATAATATTACGATGAACCAAGTTTGGACCAAATCGGATACTCCCTTCGAGAGTTATCGTGCGCACCAGCCAGCCAGACGGATGGACGGCCATCGCTAGATCGGTTCCAAATGTCCTAAAACGGATTTGGTCCAAAGAGACCTAGGGTCTAAATCCGTTATATCGATGAGGCACCTTTTGACCGTATCAAATGATATATACCCTCTCTCTAGCCATATGGCTGAGGGTAGAAAAAAAAATAAATCTCGGAACGAAATGGGTTAACTTATAGGACTTGTGTTCAACCTTGAAAAATTTTATAGGAATTTATCCATCCAATGAGAATTCAAAGTACCAATTTAAAGACAATGCGGTTGAAAATTAGGACTGAAAACTTAGAAAATTGAGATAAATTATGCCCCCCAAATTATTATGAAGGCGCCAAGGACAACAAATAATACAAATTCATTTTGACACCTTTGCTTTTCAAATACTTAAAGTTCTTTTAAATATTGTGATTGAGTTTGAGTGCTGACCAAGGAAACTTCGCCTAAAAGTATGCACTATATTGTGTTTTCTTTTTTATACTCTCCGCCATAGTATTCCGTTTGTAACACCTCGAAATATACATTTTGACCCTACAAAGTATATATATCTTTGATCAGCATAAAATTCTACGTCGATTTAGCGATGTCCGTCCGTCTGTCCGTCTGTCCGTCTATCCGTCTGTGGAAGTCGCTCTAGCTTTCGAACAAAATTATGTCTGCAGAACTTTTGGTATTGAAAATGGGTGATATAGGTCCACGTTTTGGTTTAGCCTCCATATAACGGAACCACCCGACATTCGGTATTTTGATGATTTTAGCGACATTATTCACCGGAATTGTTTCAAATTTGATGTTTGAAGTTCATAATGAATACTATAGGCTAAGACAGAAAATTGTCTGTGCAGGGCCACGTCTTCGTATATCCCCCATATAACGATACCTCCCGATATTCGGTATTTTAATGATCTTAGCGACATTATTTTCCAGGATTGTTTCAAATTTCGCATGTGAAGTTCGAAATGAATACTTCAGCCCATGCCAGAAAATTGTCTGTGCAGGTCCACGTCTTCATATAGCGCCTATATAACGGTACCTCCCTATATTCGGATTTTTGATTATTTTAGCTACATTATTCACCGAACTTTTTATACCCTCAGCCATATGGCTACAGAGGGTATATATCATTTGATACGTCCAAAACGTGCCTAGTCGAAATAACGGTTTTAGACCCTAGGTCTCTTTGGACCAAATCCGTTTCAGAACATTTGGAGTCGATCTAGCGATGTCCGTCCGTCCGTCCGTCCGTCCGTCTGTCTGTCTGTCTGTCTGTCTGTCTGTCTGTCTGTCTGGCTGGCTGGTGCGCACGATAACTCTCGAAGGGAGTATCCGATTTGGTCCAAATTGGCTACAACGTAATATTTTTGTCAAACTTAGATCGAGTTCGGAGATGGGCAATATCGGTCCACTCCTTCTGGTACCTCCCCCACAAAAGGTCGAAATTTTCAAAAAATATATTTTTTGCACAGGAAGAGAAAGGATAATCCGAATTTGCTCCAACTTTGCAAATCCTAATATTTGCGTCAGTGCTAGGTCAGGTGTGAAAATGGGCAATATCGGTCCACTCCATCAAGTACCTCCCCCACATATGGTCAAAATTTTGAATAATTATAACTCTCATAAAATGTTATGTAAGAGTCCGATTGTCTTCAAATTTCACACATCCCAATATTTATATTAACCCAAGGTCTGGTGTTAAGATGAAAAATATCGGTCCACTCCTTCTGGTACCTCCCCCACAAAAGGTCGAAATTTTCAAAAAATATATTTTTTGCACAGGAAGAG